GTCATTTTTGAGAAACTTTTATTTTACTTTTATTTTATTTTTTATTTTACTTTTATTTTACTTTTACTTTTATACTTTTATTTTTTGAGAAACTTTTATTGGTATAGTATTTAAGGGTGATCAAAAGTTGGCATACCAAAAAAGTATATATTTTTTTCTGAATTTTAACAACAAAAATGGACATAGCTAAGTATTTTAAGGCAAATGAGTGTATTTTTAGTCATTTTTGAGATTTTTTTTCGGAGAATTGTTCAGGAACTTATTGGTATACTATTATATTGTGATCAAAGGTTGGCGTTCCAAAAAAGTATATTTCTTCTGAATTTTTACAACATAAATAGACAGAGCTAAGTATTTTTAGGTAAATGAGTGTATGTCATGTTGTTCAGAGAGTGAAAATTGTATTGTGTGTACTGTATCTTTATCTGCATGTTTCTCACCAAAGATTCTAAATTCCGAACTGCGCATGTCATTTATTGTCAGATATTAAAAAATTATGATGAAAGTATTTGGGATTTTTTTCATCAATTTTGAGCATTTAGAGACTTCTTTTATAAAAATTCAATAAAAAAAATTCCAAAATGGGCCAAAGTGCCACATGTTCAAAATCTAAAAAATTAAAAATGTTATTTTGTCTGCATATTTTTCAGCAAATTAGTGCTTTTTGAGAATTCTTTTTAAAAATTGAATTTTGGGCAAAATTCTTATTTCGCACATCATTTTTCACCAGATTTTTTTGTTTTGTCTGCATGTTTTTCATCAAGTGAGAGTGTTTTGTTTTTATTTTATTATTATATTTTTACTTTTTTGCCAATATCTTAATTTCGCATGTCATTGTTGATCAGACAATACTACGTGCTTGAGTCTTCAAAAATGAATAGATATACACTATTTGCCCTAAAATACATTTATATATCATTCTCTATGGTTAAAATTCAGAAAGATTATACTTGCCCTTTAACTTTAAGTACGTCAACCACTGATCAAAATCAACATACTATACTAATAATTTCTTTAAAAAAGTCTTAAAAATAAAAAATATCTCTAAAACATAATATTTAGATAATCATTTTCAATAAATTTGTATATATATATAAAAATATATATATTTAGATAAATTCAATAGCCCCAGCAGAAGGCTCCCTTCTCTACAGAAGCCCTAAACAAATTCAGTCAAAGCTTTAATCTGTAATTTAGTCATGCTTTCACACACTCACCTCTTCATGATGCACCAGATAACTTCAATGATGGACTGATCTGCAAATATCAATGTAGTTCATGTTGTTGGCTGCATATGAAAACACATCCAAGGACATGGACTTCAGCTTTTCAGTTTCTGCCAAAGGCTAAAAAAGAGTAAACAAAAGCACAACAAATAAGTTAACAACATAGCAGCTCATCTAGTGGAAGCTACAACTTTGAACTCAAACTTGATTTCTGTAAATGCATAGTCTGACAGATAAGTCAGTGACTGCAGACAGGGTGTGCTGCTGTCTACTCCAGCATATGATTGGACATATTAGTCCTAAGTGTTTTTTAAAGAACTATCAAGATGAATTTATTCAATCCACAATTACAACTTTCATCCTACATGGAGCCAATGCAAAAAACCTTGAGAGCTTCAACAGAACAAATGAAAAGCTTCTCACTGTGTCAGCGGGAAATCCCTATCCTCCATCTGATAAAAACTTCACCTGAGTTATTATTATAAACTCTTTCCTATATTATATAATTATGTGATTCTACTCACGTGCTACAGTTAGAGCCATGAGGGTCAGAGGTCAGACTTGTAATTTACCTTGTGCGCAACACCAAAAGAATGAGCTCCAACCTCGAACTTCTTCCTCAGGTTTTCATTGGCAAGTCAAAGCATGAGGGGATTATGAAGGCACACCCACACACACACAGACACACACAGACGAGGCCTTGAGTTGACGTGGGTGTTATATGTTCTCACAGCATGTATTAAACACAAAATGTTAATGGCATATTTAGCACGGCCACCTACGGGTTAAAAAGGCAGAATAAAAAAGGCTGCTGCCAGTTTCTCGCTCTCTCACAGTCTTTGATGCATTAACATAGTGAGGAAGAACATGTATTTTTGAAGTTCTCTATGAAGCTGCAGCAGCAGGCCATGCTGTGAAAAGAAGTAGTGAGTGAGTCAAATCTGCAGGTTTTCCTGCAGAAAAGTGTACATCAATTATTGATGACATTTTTTTAACAACACAAACGAGAAGACTGTTGAAATGCACCGGTCGGTGAGACCAGGTCCAGGCTCATCTGGTATGAGCTAGTCCTGCTAACATCTACTAACATCTACTGAGCTAACAGCTCAGTCTTTCTTACTTTGATACTCAGTCAAACCACAGCAAAGAAAACCAGGTAAAATATTTTTTTTTTTTAAATACATAATCTACCTTCAAAGTACTTTATTTCAAAAGACATAAAAAAACTCATAGCAGTGTTGACTACCTACTCCTCCTACAGCTTACAGCAAATTTGATCTCCAGTCTTTACTTCCAAATCTGGATCTTTGGATATGCAGAGTTATCTTAACTGTTTATTCTAAGTTGACCATCGACACAAATTTAAGTGTGAGTAGTTGTCTGTACATTTGTATCATCGATTTAGACTGGTGAACTCTCTATAGTGTACTCCAACTACTGGTACATTAGTGTGGTGTGAGGGATCATCAGATTATGGACAATTATCTGATTTTGACCATGGAAACAGTGCTGAGGTTGGTTGGTTAGAGCTGGTGACTCTAGTCACTCTAGAGCAGGGGTCTCAGACTCGCGGCCCGCAGTACAATAGTTTGTGGCCCGCACCTTAATATGAAAGTATAATATTAGTGTGGCCCGCGGAGAAAGTGGACCTCCGAAGAGCCAATCAGCAAACTCCGCGCCGTCCCTTGTCGGGGCTAGGCTAAGCTAAGCTACACCAGCTTCGTGCACTTCACGCTTGCAACAACAGCACGGCATGTAATGAAATTTAAAAGGTATGGATCTGTGGATTGTGGAAAGTTCAGAGTTTCTGATGCTGACAGCATGTTAACTGTTTGAAACAGAAATTAAAATAAATTCAGAAATTTATTCAGAAATAGTAATAGTGTTGATGGTTGATATTTAAATTATTACTCAGTTTTAGTTACCCGTCCTGCAAGGAGAACACCTTTGATATTAAAAGTGTTCAATTAACTGTGTGTTGAAAATATTTGAGGAAATTTGAGTTATAAAAACATAGTTATGAAACCTGAAGGAGCCCCGTCAAGCTCCTTGCCTAAAGTATAACCAAAGAAACATCAGTATTTGAATTAACATAATTCCCTCGGCTGCCAAATAAAATCCGTCATGAGCAAGAGTGTAAGAAAAAGATTATATTTATGTGTCTGCGGCCTCAGCCCAGCGACAAGATTAAAGTGTTTTGCCTGGTCGACCGATTCTTCTGTCTTCTCTCAAATTCCCTAACAAATATCCATCCCAGATGGAGTTATGTTTTTTCACTTCTTTGCATCTGTTCTCTGACAGTCCAGAAGAGGAAATCCAAATGTTGGAGGGCAAATTGGTAAAGATTCCTTCCATGTACAAACACCTTTGCTTCAGACACACATTTACCTTACTGGAGTGTCTGCACCGCTGTGCCAGTGTCGTCAACTTCCTTCATTCTTAGATCTCGACTTTCTTCTGGAGCATCTTCTTGTTCTGCCTCTGACATACCTTAGTTTGGCATCCTGCTGGTTCACCACACATAACTGCCTGCGAGTAAAAAAAATGTTATTTTTATACATTTATAAAGTTTAAATTGTTTGATATTTTTGTCCTTGTTTCATATTTATATACATGTTCTTCCTATAGGACGGATATCAGCCTACCTCCAGGTTCTTTTTTTTTTTAGGTTCCAGCTTCTTTTATAATGCAGCTTGCCTTTATCTGCAGACTGGAGGGCAGTTTGTTCCCAGTGACCCTCTTAGCAGTACTCAGCAGTACTTCTTGACCTGCTAGTATACAGCTCAGAGACCACATAGCAGCAGAAGGTCAAAAAGTTTTTCAGCTGGTGCGTAACAGAAAATAACCCTGTAGATTGTGTGAAAAGTGAAGACAGAAATTCCTGCTCAACCTCCCCAGATAAGGACAAACACCATAAAGTAGTAGGATTTGTGCTCCACCTGTTTTAATTTCCTGAAATAAATTCATCACTGTGTCACCAGGGATGATGAATCTCCTCCCACTTAGCGGTGCCTTAATGTTATTGTTCAAAGTAAGTTATTAAGGGTTAATTGTACAAATTTATCTTGATAATGTTCCATATTAACAACAATTGTCATCATTTGAATTAGTCAAAAAATAAAACACTTCTCTCTCTACAGACTCATATAAAGCATTGATGTTTTGCACATATCTTATAGACTGGGTTACTGATAATAATGTTAGAATAATGTGTAGACAGTCTGTGATTGAAATATACTGTAATCTTCTTTCACACCAACCAATCAATTCTGCGACTCAATAATTTTAGCATTTGTTAAAATAAGAAGAAAAAGAAAAGAAATGGCTTTGAACAGGAGCTGGAGTAAAATTTAAAACCAAACCAGTGTTTTAAAAGGTAGTGTTGCAGATCTATAATATATTAAAAAACAAGCAGACCTCAGTCACTTCACCTTCTTAATTATCAGCCCATTATGTTCCTGGAGTTAATTGCTATTGAATGTGAATTGTGATTACTGTTGTCTGCCGTGATGAAAAGGAATAAACTAAAAAAACAAACAAACAAACAAACAAAAAACACATAATTCAGCAGAAAAGATCTTCAGCACAAATGACTGCCTTATTTGTATGGGTCAATTCTAGAGTGAAATGTTTTCTGGTGAGCTGCTACAGTTGCATCACAAAGCTTTGTTTGTTTTTTCATTTAATCAGTAACTGCAGTGTGACATGATGTGAACCTGTTGATTGTGTCAGTGTAACACTAGTGGGAGCACCTACTGGTTGGCTCGTACAGTAAAGAACCATAATTAAAAAGCTGTGAATTCTAAATTGTAGACTGAGGGAGAGATTGTTTTTTCACTTCGTCTCCAGATTTCTTTTCTTTTTTTTTTTTTTTGGTGCAGATTCAGAATTCAGACATGTGAAAGTTTCCGGCTGAAACACAGTGAAATGAGTGTTCAGTGTTTATGCCTTACAGTACGGATTCCTAAAGTGTAGAGCGCTGTCCCTAAGGGTGAATATGATATTAAAAAAAATTGTGATGGCGGTTTGTGTGGATTTTTCCCACATGAGAAACAAAGATGTGTAAAGAAACATTTCCTTTGAGAAATTTCAAATTAAAAAGACATTTTATTTAATAAATACACAGGCTACATGTATGTGTGTTTTGGTCATTCAAGCATGAAAAAACAGGCAGAGAAAAAAAAGTCTGTGAACCACTGACTTACAGCAAGGATATGGCTTGTTTGACAGTGCAAGTAGAATTGTGTTGATGTGATACATTGCAAGGGCCACAGATACTGCAAGAGCGTGAATGATTGTGTGTCTTTATGTCATCAGTGTCATTACAAGAAAGACCAATGTACTAAAACATTTCACAGTGACATTAATCTAAAAGGAGCCCCCAACCCATCCTGACTTTTATAACTATTAAGTATAGATTTTTACATAATAATAAATCCATATTGTTGATGTTTTTCTCTGACTGAAAACATTTACATCCATCAATTGAGCCTGTGTGTGAGGAAAATCTTCTTAAAGCATCTTGGAATGCAATGTACAGACATCATTAGGACTGATCTTCAGAAAATAAAAATAATAATAAGTAGGGGAAATTTGTGCTGCTAATTAAATGTTAAACCAATTGCCATCAATTATACTCAAAGACATCTGAGTACTGCCTACCTCATCACAGCCTGATCAGAAGAAGGTTGAGCATAAACACAACAGGTGAGGAGGTCGTTGAAGTGTGGAACTTTGATATTTCCATATTTTCTTTTCTTTAAACCTATTATGGAATAGAAGATGTTTCCTGTTGTTTTCTTTTAGTGTCAAATTGTCCTTCAAAGACAAAAAGAACTTATTGTCTATAAAAATTATTAAAAAGTTCAGCAATTCAAAGACCTAAATTAACTCCTGTATTACCTTTTCTTTTATATTATTTTATATTTTCTTTTTCAGTCTGTTGTGCAAAATGAAAGCAACAATTTGACTGGCATTTAGCTTGTATTCACTGTAATTGCAGTCCCGTTGCTTAATGTGGTAGATTTTCACCATTTAACATTTTCCAGATGAGGTTCTCATCGTTTGCTACTTGTAATTCACGACTCACTGAACATAAAATTCAGAAGTAAGCGATGAATGAAGCAGTAGAGAAACTGCAACAGTCCATTAACAGATTACAATCAAGAATGTCAGTGAATGTTGCCAAGGTCATGGTGTCACTGAGGGCATTCTGGACATTTAATCAACATTTAGTCACGTGACGTTCACTCACATGTCATTGTGTTATCTCTGGTGAGACTATGGTGAGAAGCAACGGTGCTTTCCATGGGCTAACAGGCGGTGATGAACAAACGGGCCATTCGTCTCAACGTATCTGTAGGGACACAAATCCAAACGTCATGACTAGGCAGCCTATTGAGCCTCATTCTAATGTAGATCAAAACAACCCTTATCAGACAGTAAAACTCCACTTTAGTTATATAACAAAGTCAAAAAGTTAATTTATATAATTTAATTAATTAATAGAAGTTTTTTTCTCCAGCTCTTGTGTCAAAACAGCACATCCTGTCGCTTTGTCACTACTGGGTTTTTAGGGAACATCAAATTTAATTCACCTTTATTTCAGGGTAACTTTAAAAATCAAGTCTAGACTCGACTCATGCTCGTTGAGTTGATATTTGCTCTGAATCACATCGACCCACACAACAGTACCATGGAAACACTTCATAACAGCTCAGACCCACAGCAAGGGCAAACAGTCAGTCAGGGATGCAGGTACGGGGGAAAAAAGGAAAAGAAGAGTAAGTGAGATTGAGAAAGATTTTGGTTTTTTAGACTTACTAATGTAAGTCCTTATGAAACAAAGTAATGTTTTTATAACATGAGCTCAGTGTTCAACAAGTGAATAAATAAAAAACGTGGTCAATTTAAAATATTTTTAAAATTTAACCAGAAAGGCTGGGGGAATGGTAATTCTATGCAGAAGTGTAAAGGGACATTGTGCTGTCAACACTGATGACGCTAGGAGCAGAGCTGAATCGTGTGACTCACTAATGGAGATTAAATAGATTAGGACATAAAACCGGTTTATGCCAGGTTTTTAAATTAGGTTTTTCACAAGTGCAATGACGTCTCTAAATAAATAATTCATATACCCAAAAAAAAAATTTCAATAAAAAAAAATTGAATAATATACCAGCACACTCATGTCTCTGGCACCACACTGACACAGTCTTCTACCATCTCAAACAGGAAGTGGAGGGGACCACTTCGAGAGGCCACCTCACTGGCCGTCTCCCCAGAGTTACTGCGGAGTCCTGCTTTCAGGTGGCGCTGGGAAAGAAGCAGTTCCAGTGTTTGGGCGCAGGCTATTTTAGAGGAGCCGGTGTTAGAAGCGGCAAGGTGTAGCGGTGTGAGCCCACCGTTGGTCTGAGCATTCAGTTCAGCTCCGTGCTGCAGGAGCAGACTGGCCACAGTGATGCGACTCCAGCGGCAGGCGCTGTGAAGAGGCGTCCAGCCGTCAATCGTGCGGTTGTTTACTTTGGAGCCCGCGGCAAGTAAAATCAAAACAGCATCACTATGGCCATTGTAGGCTGCACGGTGCAGGGGAGTGTAACCGTCCTCGTCAGAGCCGTGAACCAGCGACGGATTAACTATCAACAACCTCCTGAGTGTTGAGAGCTGTAGGGGAAAAAAAGTTTAAAATAATCTGTCATGATGTGGATCGTTTTACATCTCTTATTTATTTATTTTTTCTTTTTATATCAACCTTTTTATATCAAGCTATTCCTGACAGGGTAATGGGTTCACACTGGTACCTGTAACAGTGCACCAGAAATGCTTTAGAAACCATCTAACCATAAACAGAACTAGAATAGGTTGCATCATAATACCACAATAACAACAATCTCACCACAAGTGTGACCAGGGCTGACCCTAGCCAAACGGAGGCCCTAAGCAAGATTTTTCAAGTTGCCACCTCGTCCCCAATACTTTTGAACATAAAGTAATTATAGAAAATCATGTGAATCATTAATCATGAATAAAATGATTAGTCTTCGCTTATCATGAGAAAAAAAAATCAGAAAGAACCAATGTGTTCTACTGTAGTCAAACATGTTCAATAAAAAAAAGCACAGCATCTATATATAAACATGTATGACCACTCACACGATTATGTTCTGCTGCCCACAGAACAAGCTCAGATGGGTTCTCTATAAGAGCTCCCTCCTTCTGAAGATACCACTCCTCACTGTGGGCCCCTTCCTCCGTTTCCTCCTCCATCTCTCCATCTTCCTGCTCCGTACTCTCTGTCCACATGCTGTTGGCTCCACGTGGGATCAGGTGTCCATGTGAGTTCAGCAGCTCCAACTGATTGAAGTCTTCAGGAAAATCCATCTTTGATTTCAGGCTGACATAATTGATTAGTGTCTTATGTAACATAGCCACCAGCGATATCACTTCACATCATATACCAAACACATGCAGTACATACTGTATATCTGGTCTTCATGTACCATATGTGTTAAATAACAGAACATAGGAATCATACAAAAGTTGAAGCAAAACAGTGTGAACAATCGTCCTTTTAAGAACAACAGCCAATAATAACATACTATATATCAAACCTGTTATAATATTATATTGGGTGCTATTGTTAATTGTTGGTGGTAAGGGGAGTTATAGAATAAAAGGTGATCAAATAATAAGCAAAAACACAACCAAATGTGATTAAGAGAAGTTAAATCAAGAATTTATCGTAAAAAAATAAATGAAAATCCTTATGGATTCTGCAATTTAATTGCATCAAATGTCCATGAAATAAAAAAAATAAAGTGTGTGTATCTTTAAGCCCTGGCTCTGGGCACTGTGAATATCAGCCTGAGGCAAAGCGGCAGTAGGTTTAGGGGATGCCAATTAAACTCCAGTGGGTTTAATAGATTCAAAAGCAGGACGTGAAGAAGAAAGAAGAAGTGAAGAAAACAACCTATTACGAAAAAACTGAAAATCTTTTCAACAATCTGAACTCCAGAAGTCCTCACATTTGTGGTTGAACATGGTGAGCCATTATCAGACTGAAACTCAGCAACATCAACACAGTTCTTTAAAATATTACCAAACATCTATCCATCATTTTTGTTATAACTACTTCTTGTCAAAATACCAGGTTTCTACTTGATGGTCATTGTGATTAAACTGAAACTGGGTAACCTACAGTGTGGTTTGATGTAATGTATTTTTCCACTTTCAAATCCAAACATCCCAAACCCTTCTCAGTTTAGAAGATCTGTGCTTCATACGACCATGTTATATTCACCTTGTGAACAGGAGGATCAAAATACAGGATGGAGAACCATTCAAACAATATCTGTCTACAGCACAGGTAAATCCCTCCAGAGAACACTCTGCACTGTTGGTTTACAATGTGCACATCTGGGAAGACAAAACCCTAACCTTTCCCCATACGAATCAGAATCTATCCTTTGACTTCCTCTGACCACTGGACCACAATCCTGGTGTAATTGTGAGTTCGAACCATTGCCCTACCCACATATAACCCCAGAAGGAGGGAAAGATGGTGCTAAAAGAATCAGGCAGTAAGGGGGGGAATAAAGGAAAACAACTCTAATTCCTAAATAAAATAAATGTATATTTTAAAGATAAAACAGAATGAGCTGTGGACTACACACAGTCCATGGCACATATAATACATGAATGTTAATGTAGATGCTAATACTGTCATTAGCATTGTGTACTTTTGTAAAATATTGCCCTTCCTCAAAAACGTATATACGTATATACCTCATTTACATGGTTACATTGAGATTGGGCGTATGTTATTGGCAGAACTGCCTGCAGTCCAAAACCTTCTTTTTTGCATTTTTATGCTATCGTATTTATCATACTGACAATACAAAGTTCAACATAGTGTAAGTTAATTAACTATAAAACTCTTATTATTATTTTAATTTATTTTACAAACAAGAAAACAACGACAAAAACGTCGGTTAAAAAAACCCCAAACAGTTACGCACACATGACTGAAAAACAGAAAAAACAGTTTGAGTATGCTAATATGAGCTAACATGCTACATGTTTATATGTTCAGAGTCACTGGAGAGATGCTAACGTTATATGCTACCTCTGATGCTAACGGTCCAACAGCTTCAAAATAATGAATTCACATTTGTCATCACATCTAGAAAAATAAATAAAACCTTTCGACACTTACCTTTTAGCTAAGCCAAACAGCGGTTGCAGCAAAGACACACGGACAACGTAATATTTTACTACTAGGTTCATGACATCAGGTTGAAAACACACTATTACCCACAATGCTATTCCTTTTCTTCTTCGCTGTGGTATTTGTAGTAGTTCATACGCAATTTTAATGTTCTGCTGCCATCTGTAAGCACGAGTCACTTACACGCACACTGTAGGGCTGAAAATTAAATCTTATCGCGTGTAGCCTGTAACCGAATATTAATTCGTTATTTTGTTGACACATCCCATGGTTTACTTAAGAAATAATAATGAAAAACAAAAATGGGTACAGACTCACCTGGATGTGAAAATTGATCCGTCACAGAATGTGCCCTTTTTTATTTAAATGATATAAACCTTGGTTTAAAAGTATTTTAGACACAACTGACACCACGTACCTTTCATGAGTTTAGGTGTTTTGATGATAACTGAAGATAAACCTTACGATTTGTAGGCACTTGGTCATTAGTTTGATAACTAACTTGACTAACTTCAGGTATTTTATTATTATCTTTTATTTTCAGGTTTTTTATTATATTAAAATGTTTAATATATGAACATAGAATTTTGCAAATCTGAAGACCTAAAGCATTATTATCAGGCATTTTGTTTTCTTATATCATGTAAGATACATTATAATCTGCAATATAACATTGTATTCCATTGGTTGAACACTTGAAATAAATAATAGACCAATAACTATTCTAAACCCTGTTTATTTTAAAAAGGGGCCTAATTTCCCTAACGCCATAACAATAGATTGGACCATACAACTGTACGTACATACAAATGAGTCATACTATTTCATACAAACAGCCTCAAAATAAAATTACATCCACTCTCCTATAATTCACAATCATGAATTCCCATTACAATTCTTAATTTTAATAAGAATTTAAAGAAGTAACATTGTGGTCCTGCCCTTGCTATCTTGAAGAGTTATTTTTCCTTCTCAATAAACCTTTAAAAAAATTATGTAAGTGTAAAATAATTAGGAGAAAAGCTCAGAAACGATTTGAAAGCATATCAGGTAAAAGAGAAGAGGACTCACTACACCCACCATGTTACCTAATGTGAGTCTAGATGGTGCATGAAATGACCAGGAAAGACAAGAAGGATCCAGAATGCAATAGGGACAGTGAGATTACATCTGTTTTTCAAAAATCGAGAACAAATGTATGCCCTTTGGTTAAAGCAGGCCTGTTTAAACAGATAACTCTGTCAGAACTATGAAATGTGTCTCTAAGTTATTTATAAATATTATTAAAGGTAATATAAACCAGATTTTAACTGTCATTTCTGTAAAGTACTGTGCGTCAACAACTTTGTCCTATAAGCTTCTTGGATATGAGCATATATGTTCCTTATAAGACATAGAATATTGTCAGTGTTGAAATTATGACTTGACATTATGTGTTCACATGAGTGACCTTACCATCACACACTCAAAGTCACAGGCTGAAGAACTGCATCACGCACTGCACCTCTGTCCATTATCACAGGCTCGTTATAAAATAAACACACACACACATACAGGTGATGTCCCAGGAGTAACACTTTTTTGTTATTAGGGTATCAGGAGTGATGAAAGATAGCATCCTGTGACAGCCAAGATTGATTTTTGTCCTGCTGAGTATTCCCACCATTTATTGCACTTTCTGCAGTGCGTTGGTGTAATCCTCCAACAGAAACATATTTCAAGTCAATAGTGTATTCATGTGGCTGCTTTTATTTATCTGCTTGTTAGCTAAAATTTATATTCATTATATGAAGGTGTGATATGTTAGCGTTATAAGACCCAGTCACTACATTACGTTGCAAGGTCATTTGTGTTCATGGTAAATATGTTTACCATGTGTATTTCAGTAGCTGTGCATGACAAGTGAACACAATTGTAAATGTCTTTTAAGGGGAATGTGGCCCTGATAATTAAACTCCAGTCCCTTCTAAAGTAACTCCTCTGCATGTTGAACGTGTTACTCTCTTTTACAATTTAACAATATAAAAGTGCATTTTCCCACAGTTAGTTACCACACTATTTATTTTATCTTATATGAAATGCAAAATCTGAAGTGAAGAGAATGAGATATCCAAAATGTTGGCTTGTTTAAAAAAAGACAACTTATTAGCTGACTTTGAAAACAAATGTATCTACAACATTTTGAAATTCCTGATCTATTGCAAAACTTACCACCACACCTGGTCAGAATTGGATGCAACACGGAACCACATGGAAACCAGAAACACAGGAAGCTTGGAAACACAGCATGACACAAAAGACCAAGCCCTAAGCATGTACATGAAAAAACTGAAAACAAGGCCTCTACAAAAAACAAAACCAAAAACTAGGCCCAAGAGAAAAAAAATAATCCCAGGCCCAAGGACCCTAACCCTTGGCCTGGATCCTTTTGTACCTTGGTCTAGGGTGAATAGGAGTCCTTAGTCTAGGAGTTAGACTAAGGCACCCCAAGAGTCCAACAGTCTATAGTCTGTTGCTGAATCACGACTTGTGCTAAGAGTGAGTATTGTTTGTATGTCAGAAATACAGTTATGTCAGTGTGTTTGTCCAAAGACTTTTCTAATTTGGCTTTTTCTTTTTCTTTTATTTATTTATTTTTACCACCAAATGCATCATGACAGTAAAACATTGCCAGTGTTAGGCTGCACACTGAGCTGTATTCTCCATATTGGAGACATTTTAACACATGTTCATGTCAGGCACAACAGGTGCTTTTGTTTCATCGTGGCAATTTAAAGGAATAGGTTTTGAAGGAGGAAAGTGAAGGAAAGTGAACTGCTTGTCATTGTGACAGCACACCACTGCACACAATGAAATGTGACCACTGCTTTTAACCCACCACCAAAGTGAACATGGGAGCAGTTGGTGGGGACCCAAAAAATAGTTACATCAAAAGCAACTGGACAAAGTAGATTTCTTTTGAAGACGTTTCGCCTCTCTTCCAAGAGGCTTCTTCAGTTCTGACTGACCACTGGGAAATTGATTGACTCAATTTCCCAGTGGTCAGTTAGAACCAGTTGCTTTCAATGTAACTGTTTTTTGGAATAAATGACTTGGACGACTGAGAACCTACACAGACAAAGTGGGTGGGGAAAGTGCCACCTTAGTTGGTGGATTTGAACCTGAACTGTTCCGGACCCACGTCTGCTTTCTTAGGCCACTGCCCCACCACAGTTTGAACTAATTTGGACAGAAAAAAACAACAACTCACATTTTAATCAATACTGTGTGGCCACTGTACATAACAAATGTTTCACTTAACACTTAATGCACATAGGTCTTATTGAAGTACACCAAGTATAAACACCTGTAGGAGGTTGTACAGTTAAGTACACAGATGTGAGTTTCTGCCAGAGAGCAACCGTTGATATTTAATGTACAGTGTAGTGAATCTATTTTTACCAGATGAAAATTAAAAAAAACAGATCTCAGATTCCTTGGTAGCCAGTAGAGTTCACAATACATTTATTTTTATTTATTTGTTTTACTTATAAATGGCTTACCTGGTTAGTAGTTGTTTAATCTAAATATAACAGAACAACACAACTGTCTTTGAACCAAGTTCCATTTCTAAACAACTGATCTTACTTTGTTAATTTTTATATATATATATTTCATTCGGTCAAGTTTTCCATTTAATTAGACAAATGAAACATAATCTGGTTAGAGAAGAAGTACTGTACAATGGGTTTCACACCTGATATTCTCTCTCCACTGAGTCTGTGCCTTTCCAGCTGCAAGAAGCACTGGTCAATTTAAAAGATAGATGACAAATCAGGTTTATAGACCTGTGTCACACACAGAGGTATAGATCTATCAGGCTGAAGACCTCGTTGAAAGAAGAAAAGCATACAAAACCACAAGGAGTGTTTCCCTGACTCTAAATGGTGGAATGTTCTCTGCGTGTGCACACACTCCAGCTTCCTCCCTCAGTCCATAAGCATGCACTTTTAGGATAAGGTTAATTGGACATTTTAAATCAACCAGCAGTATAATTGTTAGTGTGAATGCCAGATGACTGCTGGGGTTGGTTCCACCTCCCCCTGTGACCATGAATAGAATTAAGCGGTAAAAGATGAATTAATGAACTTCAACCCTCAAAGTACAGCTAAACTGACAATCACAGTCTCACGTTTGTTTATACATTTGTTGTATATATATATATATATATATTTCATTAATCTGTGACATAAATCTGATTAAATATCCACCCACCTTTTCCTTCGTCGCTGGAACACAGTCAGAAAACGTTAGCATTTGTACTTTCAGTAATGACTGAAATCCACTAACTCCATGACGCTAAATTATGACTTATACTTCTGCATATTTATTTTTACATTTTTACCGAATTAATAATTCCATCATATGGTTTAGTTGCAAATAAAAACAGTTAAAAAACACATATATCTACCTGCGGTTATTTGTTCTTCTCACATATCTACCTGCGGTTATTTGTTCTTCTGTTTTTTTTCTTTTGTTGTTGTTTGTTTGTTCTGATTCTGATGACACTAACTGCTGGTGAGTTTTTATCGTGACTCTAAAATAAACAGACGTCCTGACAAGAACAGCTTCACAAGCATGTATGTGTTAGTTTTGTGTGTGTCTGTGCGCGCGCGCGCCTCTGCCTGTGACGCGCTGAAGGATGTAAAAGCAGCGCCTTCCCCGTAGAAGCGCATCACAACTTGTTGCTTCAACATCTTGTCATCACTTGAGTACGACCAGAAGTCCAGCACTGTCCACGTCTGGAGAAACTACAGAGAAAGAACAGAGAAGAAATGCAAGTCAAAAAGAATCAGATGCACGCCGTGGGTTTCTGCTTGACTGCGCTCCTGTGGGTCGGCACCTCTGATCGAACCGCACCACCGGGCGCGCACCAGCAAACGCTCAACGACTCCTCACTTGTTGCAGAAGGAATATTTTCATCCAGGGACAATGTTTCCAATATTTCGGCAGAGCTGGATAAATGGCCTTCCGCTTTTTTCCTCATGGACTTTGACGAGGGTTTGCTGGAGGACTGGCGGACCTTGGCCAGAAGTGGCGTAGAGTCGCAGGAGTGCAGCTCCAAGGTGCTGCTGGTGGCCGCTTACTCCCTGATCATCGTGGTCTCCCTGTTCGGGAACACGATGGTCTGCCATGTGCTGGTGAAAAACAAGCGCAATCAATCCTCCACCAGTCTGTTTATTATGAACCTGGCTGTTGCTGACATCTTCATTAGTGTGCTCAACACACCCTTTACCCTGGTAAGATCAGCTCTCACACTGCTCAGCGTGGGGATAGTCCTATATCATATCATATATATGTATGTATGTATATACTGTATATCATACATTTTCTCATCCAAGGCCACACAAACCTACAATGTAGCTTCTGTTCGTCTTTTCTTTTCATCTCTCTACTCTGTCTGCCACTAATTTGTCCTTCAGCTTCTATTTTTCCACTTTTGTTTTATTCATCTGTCATCTAAACATGTGCTGTTAGTGCTCCAGTTTCAGCAACGAAGGCCTTTAAAAATAAAAAATAAAAATCAACTCTCAGATGACTTGATAATAAAAATACTGTCTAGCTAACATCACCTGCTGTTGTGAAATAGATTTTCATCTTTTTGCAATGTTTTTTTTTTTTTTTGTAGCTATGGCTCGTGACTGCTTATGTGTAGCAGTGCCATGCCATGATGATGCATCCTGCTGCATTTAAACACACACAGCCTCGCTGATGTATTGAGGATCTCCTGAAGTGAAAACCACATGTTTAGATGGGAGCATATAGATCTCACAACATCCACCTAAATGAAGTTTAGATGGGAGCATATACTGTAGATCTCACAACATCCACCTAAATGAAAATGATAACTAACCTTTTCTGTCCCTCAGTGGGGACATTTACAACGGTATACTTTTCAAACAAACAAAACAATGTCTTAGGAACTACAGGGCTTTATGAATGTATACTTACATAATTAACACTGAAGCCCGTTGATACGGTCTTTGTCGTGACAAAGGAGACATTCAGCTGTAGTGATGGAAGTTCTGTCAATTGCTATTTTATCATCTGGGTAATAAACATTTGGTCTTGCAGCTTTATCTAAACTCTAAACCTATTCTAAAACATTAATAACACAGAGTGATCCCCTTGACATCAATTATCAATAGGACCAACATCTGTAATTACCTGCTCATCCCACTCGTTTCACAGAGCGTTGTGAAGAGCAGAATGTCACCTCTTTGGTTGGCTCAGCGTTTTACTTTCAAATTGTATTTAAACACCAGGTGTGTATTGACAGGACTACAGCTGATATTAAGTCTGACAGAAAGGATAAACTTTGGGGCTTCTATTTTCTATTCAGCATTTGATTATAGCAGTTCAGTTTATTTTGAATTAGTTCCAAATTCACTGGCAAAAATGTGTTCATTTAAATTTTCACTTTCTGAAGAAAAACGCAATGTAGTCCTAGAGTATTTCTAATGACGTTATTATACATGCATTACATT